GGATGATTCGGATCGCCAATCGCTGATAGCTGATCGAGGAACACGACCATTCGTTCTTTGTTTTTCAAAATGAACGGATTTACTACTTCCATGTAAGGTTCCTTGAAAAAAAAAATCAAACTAGCTGTAAGTGGAATTCTGTCTTAAGGCAATTAAGGCATCGTGCCTTGAGGCAAATTGCTGAAACTTCCCGTACTAGAAATTATTACTTTTTTAAAAACAATTAACATTTTTGAAAAAATTTACTTAAAAAAAATAAGATGTTTGAGAAACTATACATTGGACAAATAATTACTTTTTTTTTAAAAAAAAAAAATTATAATTTTTTTTTTTTCAATTTATTTTGGAAAATTTTTTTTTTTTTATTTGACATATTTTGGAAGATCTAAACTTTTTTTTAAAGCAATCGTATTGCTTTAACTGCATAAAAATATCAAAGCGCGTAAGCGCCGCGTCGCCGTCTAACGCGTAAACATTGGTACGGAACCCATAGGAATGTAAACCAAAATTATACTTATTATTAAAATCTCTATAAAATATCTGATAATTTGATGTGCATATGTCTAATGATCTTTTTTGACCGCCAAATGACATTTTAACTTCCCGAAGGAGAAGTTTATGTTTTCATCAAAAAATCCGATTCGCTAATTTTATGTTTTCTCGACGTTTCAAGCCATTCTGAATCGAATGAGATCAAATTTGGAAAAAGTATGTGTGTGTGTGTGTGTGTGTGTGTGTGTGTGTGTGTTGTGTGCGTGTGCACCAACAGATTTTTTGCCGTAAATCGCCGTTTTCTCTCAAAAACGGCTGGACCGATTTCAAAAATTTAAAAAGCCATTCGATGTATCCTCGATGAGGACTATTGTTTGTCAGTTTTGTGCGACGATCGGCCGAGCCGTTTCTTCGTAAATAGCAGAGAAGTGAAAAGTCTTTCGTCCACGTTTTAGCCCGCAGTTATGAATCGATTTTGAAAATTCAAAAAACCGTTCGAAAGATATTGGTTGGGAATCGTGCTGATTAGTTTTGGTAGAGATCGGCCGGGCCGTTTTCTTGTAATAAAGTTTTTAAAAAAAAAATTCGACGATTTTTATGATTATTATTTTGACGGTAGATACCAAGTCTTCTAGATCATACTAAAATATTACGGCCCTACGACAACAGGTTCAGCTTTAAAAATTCGTCAAAGTTTGCAAAAATTGGTATTGTTTTTTTGGCATTTGTCAAAGCTAGACATTTGATCGACGTTTTCTCCAAAAACGCCTGAGCCGATTTAGAAATTTAAAAGCTATTTGATGTATTTTGGTGAGGACTTTCGTTTGTCAGTTTTGTGTGACGATCTGCCAAGCCGTTTCTTTGCAATTTGAAAAAAAGTGTTAAACTTTTCGTCCACATTTAAGCTCATCCTACCGAACCGATTTTAAAAAATCAAAAACTGTTCGAAAGATATCATTTGGGAATGATGCTGATTATTTTTAGGTGAAAATCTACCGAGCCGTTTTCTTGTAATTAACTGTTTGAAAAAAGTTCTAAATTTTTCGTCCACATTTAAGCTCATCCTACCGAACCGATTTTGAAAAATCAAAAACTGTTCGAAAGATATCATTTGGGAATGATGCTGATTAATTTAGGTGAAAAATCTACCGAGCTGTTTTCTTGTAATTAACTGTTGAAAAAAAGTGTTAAATTTTCGTCCACATTTAAGCTCATCCTCCGAACCGATTTTGAAAAATCAAAAACTATTCGAAAGATATCATTTGGGAATGATGCTGATTAATTTTAGGTGAAAATCTACCTAGCCCGTTTCTTGTAATTAACTGTTGAAAAAAAGTGCTAAAATTTTCGTCCACATTTAAGCTCATCCTACCGAACCGATTTTGAAAAATCAAAAACTATTCGAAAGATATCATTTGGAATGATGCTGATTAATTTTAGGTGAAAATCTACCGAGCCGTTTTCTGTAATTAACTGTTGAAAAAAAGTGCTAAATTTTCGTCCACATTTAAGCTCATCCTACCGAACCGATTTTGAAAAATCAAAACTGTTCGAAAGATATCATTTGGGAATGATGCTGATTAATTTTAGGTGAAATCTACCGAGCTGTTTTCTTTGTAATTAACTGTTGAAAAAAATAGTTAAATTTTCGTCACATTTAAGCTCATCCTACCGAACCGATTTTAAAAATCAAAAACTATTCGAAAGATATCAGTTGGGAATGATGCTGATTAATTTTAGGTGAAAATCTACCGAGCCGTTTTTCTTGTAATTAACTGTTGAAAAAAAGTGTTAAATTTTCGTCCACATTTAAGCTCATCCTACCGAACCGATTTTGAAAAATCAAAACTGTTCGAAAGATATCATTGGGAATGATGCTGATTAATTTTAGGTGAAAATCTACCGAGCCGTTTTCTGTAATTAACTGTTGAATAAAAGTGTTAAAATTTCGTCGTCCACATTTAAGCTCATCCTACCGAACCGATTTTGAAAAATCAAAAACTGTTCGAAAGATATCATTTGGGAATGATGCTGATTAATTTTATGTGAAATCTACCGAGCCGTTTTCATGTAATTAAATGTTGAAAAAAAGTGTTAAATTTTCGTCCACATTTAGCTCATCCTACCGAACCGATTTTGAAAAATCAAAACTGTTCGAAAGATATTGGTGGGAATGATACTGATTAGTTTTAGGTGAAAATCTACTACCGAGCCGTTTTCTTGTAATTAACTGTTAAAAAAAAAATTTAGCCGATTTTCATGAACTTTTTTTGTCGATATACATCATAGTCTTATAGAACTTACTGTAATATTACGGCCTTACAACAAGTAGTTTATTTAAAAATTCGTCAACTTTGCTAAATTTTATCGTTTTTTTTTAAAGTAGATTGATGAAGTATATTATTTACCATTTTTTTTGATCAAGTCGATTATTTACACATATCGGGAAGTTCATGTAATTTGCCTCAAGGCTAAATATCAAACCAACTAGTTTTTTTTTACTTTTTTCATTAGATCTCCGAAACCGCTAGACCTGCCTTTTTGAAAATTTGATCGGTTCTTCACCTTGTCAATACAAGTAAAATGTGTTTTGATTTATTCAAATCGGACGCTCCGTTCTCTTAAAAACTGAGTTACCGTTTTTGGCACTTTTTGCACCGTATCTTCGGACCTGCCTTCGCCAAAAACTAATCAGGAGGTCTCCTTATCAATACGAATCGAATGTTTTTTGAATTATTCAAATCGGTTGAACCGTGTTCCCGAAATCGTCAACGAAAATTTGTATCCGCACACACATAAACACACACACATACATCCATTTTTTCTAAGGTATGCCAAAATGTTCAGAAATGTTTGAAACGTGAAGATATATAAAAATTTTCATTTTCGATTTTTTGCGATTACTATAACTTTTACCCTACGGGAAGTTAAAAATAGAAATTTAATTTACATATATATTTATAAATTTAATAAATTTTTTGCATGATATTTATATGATATCAAATATATATTCTATTCAACTATTATGAATTATTTGTTATATTGTTTCTGTGTATAGAAATGTAAAGGTAAGTGGTATTTTATCTATTGTGTTATGTGTTACTGATAAAACTGCAATTATCATATAAATATCGTGCATCGTTTAAGGCAAATTGCTGGAATTTCCCGTACCGCAATGAAATATTCGAGAAATTTTAAACGTTTTCAAATATATTATTACAAATACTGTAACTTTTATTATTTTTGCTATCTTGTTATATCTTAGCAAATCAAATGTAAATCATAAATTAATTTATCTCCAGAACATTAACAATCGTCATTTCATCGTCAAATATAGTCACTTGCCTAATTTGTACAAAATTGAAAAAGTGCTCCCGTCACAGTCTAAACGCATTTGCAAATAATTCTGTGCGACATTTTCACTTATACTGTATACAGCCAGTCTAAAACGTAATAAACAGTCTAAACGCACTTGGGTAAATATTCGCACCAGAGTGGCGCTTAGACTGTGCTTAGCATGAGTAATTTTTTGAATTTTTAATCCAAAATTATAAAAATATTTTTGGAAAAAAAAAAAATTAGAAACAATTTTTTTTTCCAAATGCAATTATTTTGTTGAAACAAGCAGAAAGTTCTTTGAATCATTTAAATCGGACGCTTAGTTCTCTCAAAAACTGCTATTTTTTTAACATTTAGCTCTGTATCCCCGAAACCGCTGAGCCTACCTTTGCAAAAAACTAAGAACTATTTTTCCCCGTCATTACGAACTGAATGTTTTTTGGATCATACAAATCGGATGATCCGTTCTCTCAAAAACTCGATTTGTATTTTCTGCACTCTTTGCTCTGTATCTCCGTAACGGCTGGACCTGCCTTTGCCAAAAACTAATCAGCACATCTCCCTATCTAAAATGCGGACATACAAAACACACACACACACATTCATTTGGTTTCTGAGGTATGCCCCTTAAAAATGTTCAGAAACCTTGAAAACGTCGAGAAATGCAAAAATTTTCATTTTCGATTTTCGGCCCATTACTATAACTACCCTACGGGAAGTTAAAAAATTACTTTGCTTTCTAAAAACAATGTGTATATGTGAATACAACTACCTTTACTAAAACAGTTTAATTCAAAGCCTCTTTAATCCAACATTATTTAAAGTCCTTTTTATCAGTCATTATTTTATCGCAAAATTGTTAATCAAAACCCTTCTATCAAGAAATTATTCCCTCAGGCTGAATATATTTTTTTCTGGTCCACAATATGGAATAATAAGTATAACACCATGATAATATATATTCACACTGTTATACTCTTTTACAAAAGCGTTAATTCTAGAATTAACTGTAATTGGAGAGAAGATAGAATTTCTAGAATTAACTGTAATTGGCTCTGATTAGAAATGCAATTTTTATTTACCTTTCCGCCAAATTCGACAAGATTTGCCAAATTCTGCAAACATTTGGCGACCATAATGAGGGATCTGGTGGAATGATGCGGTGGAGTTTCGCTGACCAGGCCAAATTGACGAGGATTTAATAATGCAGGACAGAGGAGTCTCAGAAAAATAAAACCTGAAAAAAATTCCAATATATTTTAACAATTTCATAGAAATATTTACACTATTGAATATTAGAATACGCATACAAGATTTTATTCACATCAGCTGATCAAACATACTTTAGCTTTCAACATTGAAACAATATAATACTTTTACAACATTATATGCTAAGTTGATTTTAAAAAGTGACATTCGCCACAAATATCTTTTAAATCAACACAAATATCTTTCAAATCAATCAATGATAAGAGATCTGATATAGTTCAATTAGTAATAATAATTATAAATGCTCCTTTAAGAAATAAGAGTGCCAGTGATCAATGTATTTGTTAAACACAATATTTAGAATGTATATATAATTTCAATATTCATTTATTATACACAAAATTCATAACCTAATAACTGAAACTAGTGGGGTGTATGGCATCGTGCCTTAAGGCAAATTGCTGGAACTTCCCGTACCGTAACGAAATGTTCGAGGAATACTGACTGTTTTCAAATAGATTATTATTAATATTGTAACATTGTCGAATATTTATAAGAATTATATAAACTGAATTGCAAAGTTGAAATAAAAGTATATTAGAACTATAGTCAGAATTAAAAACAAAATCTGAATTATTTTCGATATACAAAAAAAAAAATGATACAAATTTTTTTTTTCCAAAATCAATTATTTTGTTAAAACAAGCTGAAAGTTTTTTGAATCATTAAAATTGGACGCTTAGTTCTCTCAAAAACTGCCATTTGTTGCATATTTAGCTCCGTATCTTCGAAATGGCTGGGCCTGCCATTGCCAAAAGCTAATAAACACTTCTCCCAATCATTACTAATTGAATGTTTTTCAGATCATTCAAATCGGATGCTCCGTTCTCTCAAAAACTCGATTTGTATTTTCTGCACTATATGCTCCGTATCTCCGTAACGGCTGGACCTGCCTTTGCCAAAAACTAATCAGCACATCTCCCTATCAATAGGAATCGAATGTTTTTTGAACCATTCAAATCGGGTGATCCGTGCGCCCGAAAACGTGACTGGAAATTTGTATCCATACATACATACACACACACACACACACATACACACCACACACACACATCCATTTTTTCTGAGGTATGCCAAAACGTTCAGAAACCTTCAAAACGTCGAGAAATGTAAAAATTTTCAATTTCGATTTTCGGCCCATTACAATAACTTACCCTACGGGAAGTTAATAATTTCAATGACTATCTTTTTTTTCATTTTTACAAAGAGTGTTATTGCATATTGCCTGACCTGAAACAACTCGAGTTCTGACTAATCTTTCGTGGGGCCACTTTGCATTCACAGCCCTCTGCAAACAGCCACAAATGTAACGAACTGTTCGAGGACATGAATCCGGAGAAGTGAATATGCTCAAGGTAATCTAGAACAAATATAAATTATATTGTAATGTATATATATATATATATATATATATATATATATTATATATGTATATATACATGTATATATGTTACGGTAAATGTGAATATTTCGGCGAATGTGCACATTCACCGGCTCATTTGGCGAATGTGAGTTCAACTCACGCACGTGCGGGTATATATTTATAATATTTAATTTAGTCATACGCATATTAATATCCATTATTTATTATTCACTATTAACTATTAATTATTTATCAATTAATAATTTATTTATTAACTATTAACTATAAACTATTAACCATTTACTGATAACTATTAACTATTTGCTATTATCTATTCACTATTTATTATTAACTATTCACTATTTTACTATTCAACTATTCACTATTAACTATTCACTATGAACTATCCACAATTCAACTATTCTTAATTCACTATTTATTAATAACTATTCACTATTTACTATTTAACTATTTAGTTATTACTATTCATTATTTACTATTAACTATTCACTATTTATTATTCATCTGTTTAACTTTTAACTATTAAACTATTTAGTTATCACTATTCACTATTCACTATTTACTATTTACTATTCACCATTAACTAGTTGATTATTTACTATTTAACTAGTTACTTTTTAACTAGTAACTATATACTTATAACTATTTAACTATTAACTATTCACAATGTAACTATTCATTATTCACTATTTAACTATTCTAAATTCACTATTCACTTATTACTATTCACTATTGACTATTCACTATCCAACTACTAACTATTTAACTATTCAGTTATCACTTTTCACTATTTACTATTTAACTAACAATTAACTATTAACTATTTACTATTTAATATTGATTATTCACTATCCACTATAATACTACTTTACTATTCCTATTCACTATCCAACTACTAACTATTCACTATCCAACTACTAACTATTTAACTATTCACTTATTACTATTCACTATTAACTATTCACTTATTACTATTCACTATTAACTATTCACTTATTACTATTCACTATTAACTATTCACTATTTAACTACTCAGTTATCACTATTCACTATTTACTATTTAACTAACAATTAATTAGTAATTATTCACTATTTAATTATTAATTATTAACTATCCACTATATTACTACTTTACTATCCCTATTCACTATTCACTAATATCTATTCACTATTCAACTACTAACTATTTAACTATTCAGTTATCACTATTCACTATTTACTATTTAACTAACAATTAACTATTAACTATTTACTATTTAATATTGATTATTCACTATTCCTATTCACTATCCAACTACTAACTATTCACTATCCAACTACTAACTATTTAGCTATTCACTTATTACTATTCACTATTAACTATTCACTTATTACTATTCACTATTAACTATTCACTTATTACTATTCACTATTAACTATTCACTATTTAACTACTCAGTTATCACTATTCACTATTTACTATTTAACTAACAATTAATTAGTAATTATTCACTATTTATTATTAATTATTAACTATCCACTATATTACTACTTTACTATCCCTATTCACTATTCACTAATATCTATTCACTATCCTATTCACTATTCACTAATATCTATTCACTATTCAACTACTAACTATTTAACTATTCAGTTATCACTATTCACTATTTACTATTTAACTAACAATTAACTATTAACTATTTACTATTTAATATTGATTATTCACTATCCACTATAATACTACTTTACTATTCCTATTCACTATCCAACTACTAACTATTCACTATCCACTACTAACTATTTTACTATTCACTTATTACTATTCACTATTAACTATTCACTTATTACTATTCACTATAACTATTCACTTATTACTATTCACTTACTATTCACTATTTAACTACTCCAGTTTCTCACTATTCACTATTTACTATTTAACTAACATTAATTAGTAATTTATTCACTATTTAATTATTAATTATTAACTATCCACTATATTTACTACTTTACTATCCCTATTCACTATTCACTAATATCTATTCACTATTCAACTACTAACTATTTAACTATTCAGTTATCACTATTCACTATTTACTATTTAACTAATATTAACTATTTACTATTTAATATTGACTATTCACTATCCACTATATTACTACTTTACTATTCAAATATTTACTATTAACTATTAACTGATTCATGAGACGGCTCCAAGTACGCACGTACACCATTTTTTAAATTAATTTGATTGTTTGAGAACTCCACATTCACCTAGCGTTTTGGGGAATGTGTACATTCACCGGTGAATGTGCACATTCACCAAGAGTACACATTTACCGTAATATATATATATATATATATATACAAACTAAATCAATTATTATATTACCTGATCTAGAACGTTAAGCAGAAACTCGGCATTGCTGCAAGCATCTTCAGGAGAATCCATCTTCGTTGGATTCAATTCAGCAGACTGTTTAGTCTCCAGCAATCTCGTTATAGTCTCGGACAATGCTGCCTAAAATTATAAATATATTGTTATGAATTATATTGCAATATTACTATTTTTTTTTTTTTTTTTTTTTTCATTTTACGTGTAGAAATCCTCCGCACTCGGTGCGCATGTACAAGTCCATTAAGGTAGTTGGGAGAGTCGCCGCCCGGAACAAAGTGGCGGTGTCGTTCTCTCGGGCGACTTCCGCATTTAAAAGTTCCCGCATCAGTTCCGTTTCCCGTTTTTCATGCCGGAACACGCCTAATAAAGCTGTGAAAAAGACAGACATAGTCTTTTGATATATCTTCTATATATATAAAAATAAGTCGCGTTTTCCTTCCTGACGAAATAACTCCAGAACGCACGAACCGATTTCGACAATTTTGCATTCGTTGGAAAGGTCTCGGGCTCCGCAAGGTTTATAGCTAAGAAAACTAGTTGTGCATGGCATCGTGCCCTAAAGCAAATTGCTGAAACTTCATGCACCGTAATTAAAAATTTTAAGTAATACATTAGTGAGAATTATCAGAATTATGCTTGGTTAAGTCAACGAGCAATTCTTGCCGCAAAGAATAATGATGTACACGCACTGAATTTCACCATTCAATCAAAAATTACTGGCGATTTGGTGACATACCAATGATTCCGACTGGTCTTCCGTTTGACTTCAAACGCTTGCAATTTCCAGTTCGCCTTGCGTTCGCAATAACAAGTCGCAAGGCCAATCGCTTAGTTTTCGCGGGATAAATTTCAGATATATTTTTAGAAATTCATTGTTTTTCACATGGGCAGTTATACGTTGCCTGTTCACGAGTTGGAAAACCATCCGCTTTGTTTGTGTTAACGTCAGACCAAAAAACAAAATATGTGGTTTACCAAAAAGCACTTCAATGAAACGGATAATTTGCGTATTCACTTTCATTTACTTAGAGAAGTTCAACCAAAAAACACTTCATTTTTGTAATCAAAATAAATTCGTTACTGTTGTATAATAAAATCAATTTTTTCCTTTTCAAATATAAAACAAACAAAAAATTTCTTCATCTTTCTCACGAAACCATCTGATGGCGAAACGGAGTTCGTCGGGTTTACTAGTATTTATATATATATAGTTCATTTGATGAAATATGATATATAACAGATATATTAACTTCCCGTAGGGTAAGGTTATAGTATTGGGCCAAAAATCAAAAATATTGAAGTAAAACTTCTTTACACGCGACTAGGGTGTAAATCCGTACAAATGCAAGGGAAGTGCGTTACGACAGATAAGAGTCGAGTGCCAATGATTTGTCATTCTATATTTGTCATATTTCTATACGGGTCGATTGTGATTAGTAGTCGTGTATGTGAATAGAGATCAGTCGTTGTATGCGTAACGGCGTCAGTATGCGAACCGATGCCAACAAGCAAATCGTCATAGATAAATAGACATTTTAAAGTTACATCGTAGTACTAATCTTGATTTAATGAAAATTGCCTGAATTAGAAGAATATTTTACCCCGCTCCTTGAAAATAATAAAACAAATTAAACAGTTGTTCCGTGAACTAAACGTAAGTTTATTTATTAGAAACTAGCAAACCCGACGAACTCCGTTTCGCCACCAGATGGTTTCGTGAGAAAGATGAAGAAAATTTTTTTTGTTTTATATTTGAAAAGGAAAAATTTGATTTATTATACAACAGTAACGAATTTATTTCGATTACAAAAATGAAGTGTTTTTTAATTGAACTTCTCTAAGTAAATGAAGTGAATACCGCAAATTATCCGTTTCATTGAAGTGCTCTTTGGTAAACCATATTTTGTTTTTGGTCTGACGTTAACACAAACAAAGCGGATGGTTTTCCAACTCGTGAACAGGCAACGTATAACTGCCATGTGAAAAAAATGATTTTCTAAATAATCTATTGAAATTTATCCCGCAAAACAATAAGCGATTGGCCTTGCGACTTGTTATTGCGAACGCAGAGAAATGGAAATTGCAGTCGTTTGAAGTCAAACGGAAGAAGACCAGTCGGATCATTGGTATGTCACCAAATCGCCAGCAATTTTTGATTGAATGGTGAAATTCAGTACGAGTACATAATTATTCTCTGCGGCAAGAATTGCTCGTTGACTTTACTAAGCATAATTCTGATAATTCTCACTAATGTTCACTCGAAATTTTAATTACGGTGCGTGAAGTTCCAGCAATTTGCATTAGGGCACGATGCCATGCACCACTAATTTTCTATATCTATAAACCTTGCGGAGCCCGAGACCTTTCCAACGAATGCAAAATTGTCGAAATCGGTTCGTGCGTTCTGGAGTTATTTCGTCAGAAAGGAAAACCCGACTTATTTTTATATATATGTAGATATATATATATATAATATATATATATATATATATATATATATATATATATATATATATATCCAAATTATTACCTGTAGCCAATGGCACTCTATCATTATGGCACAAATCAGCCAAAGCCTTAACAGCCGTCAGGCCACTTTCCAACAGCATCTGCTGCAAAGGACTGTACTCTTCTGCAGGCATTATCAGATCATGTAAATACCTAAAACAAAAATCAACTTTCAATAAAACCGAATACTAAAATCACACAAAATAAAATCTGTTATCCTTACCTTGTTCTCAACCTCAAACTGCCCCAATCGCCTATCGGTGTAATACCAGACAGTTGATGCCAATCTTCTCTCTCCTGGCCGTTTCCCAAAGTTGATAAATCGACTACTAATTCTGCAACTTCTGAGTCTTTTCCACGTTTTCCTCGATTTAAAACTGTTATGGTGAACGATACCACGTCTGATGGTACATCCCTGTTGGAGGAATTTAAATAAATATTATCGACACAATAAAAAAAAGAGTGCGCGTAAGGATCACACGCGATTGAAGTAACGTACTGTATAACGTAGCAAATTTAAGTTGAGTAAAAATAAATACATCATATAAAAATTTTGAATGTTTATTAGTAATATGGTAACACTCGTGATGCACACATTTATTAGTGTCGTCAATCATTATACACATTTATATAATGATAAATTATAAATTATATATTTATGATTACATTAAAAATATGTATAATATTTTTAAACAATAATGTAATCAAAGTCGTACTTGAAATATGACATGATCGTTTTAAAGTAATTGCTGATTAATAAATTCTATAATATTCATTCACACAGTGGATTATGTTAAACAACGTTTGTTTAACATAATTAACTTTTGCAAACTAACTCATCCTGTAACAATTGTGTTTGAAGAACTTCATGTAATTAAAATTAACATACATTCATTTACTGTTTGTATTTTTTTACTTTTTCGCTGACGATATAATCTCATTCCTTGAACAGCTGTAATATCCGTCGTGCCTAACAAACTGAAGCCATACTTTTATATTTGTTTTATTTATCAAGCTCTGCACATAGCTTGATCTATGTATCATTTGCTTTTTTATGTGAACGTTAATGCAATGATCATCATCACTATTACGAGGTAATAAATTAACCATATTATCAACGTCAACAGGCACATTTATAATTTGGCCAAACATTCCAAATTGTCCATTTGCATGTCGCAATCGTCTAATTTGCATGAAACACAACCTAGGTGAAATTAACCTTTCAGATACAGTATCTAGTTTAGGTAGACAATTTGGTATAGGTGGAAATACAAACGCGTTAAATTTACACAAAGTGGGAATTTTACCCGAATTTAATATCTTTCGACAAGTTTGACATCCAACCTGATTATTTGAATCAATATTCAAAAACCATTATTAAGAATTTGTTTTTGAGCATCATCTGATATTTCTAAGTCACTTTGAAGCCAAAGTCTATCACACACAAAACATACATAGCCAAAGCTATCATTTCTTACGCAGCGCAGATTTTTCCTTAGTTTCATTATTTATTTGCGATCATTTGCACTACAATTATTTATGGGGGACGGGATAAAATATTCTTCCGATTCAGATATTTTTATTAACTCACGAATTATACTGCTAACCCATGTCGCGCCTAAAGAAGTTTTACTTCAAAAAATGTTTAGAGACTAGGAGCTAAATACAAAACTCAAGTGAAAGTCGACACATTTTGTTTTTTTTAACTTCCCGTAGGGCAAGTTATAGTAATCGCAAAAAAATCGAAAATGAAAATTTTTATATATCTTTACGTTTCAGAGGTTTCTGAACATTTTGGCATACCTTAGAAAAAATGGATGTATGTATGTGTGTGTGTGTGTGTATGTATGTATGTATGTACGTGTGTGTATGTATGTGCGGATACAAATTTTCGTCGACGATTTCGGGAACACGGGTCAACCGATTTGAAAAATTCAAAAAACATTCGATTCGTATTGATAGGGAGACGTGCTGATTAGTTTTTGGCGAAGGCAGGTCTAGCCGTTCCGAAGATACGGGGCAAAAAGTGCCGAAAACGGTAACTCAGTTTTTGAGAGAACGGAGCGTCCGATTTGAATAATTCAAAAAACATTTCACTTGTATTGACAAGATAAAATTTTTATGAAGGTAGGTCTAGCGGTTTCGGAGATATGGAGGAAAAAGTAAAAAAATGAGCCATTTGGCGGTCAAAAATGATCACTAGACATATGCTCATCAAATTATCAGATATTTTATAGAGATTTTAACAATAAGTATACAATTTGTTGAAATTCCTATGGGTTCCGTACCAATGCTTATGCGTTAGACAGCGACGCGGCGCTTACGCGCTTTATATTTTATCCCTATGCAGTTAAAGCAGTACGATTGCTTTGAAAAGAAAGTTCAGATCTTCCACAATATGTCAAAATAAAAAAAAAAATTTTTTTCAAAATAAAAAAAAACAAAAAAAAAAATTAAAAAAAAAATTTTTTTCAAAAAAAAGTAATTTTTTGTCCAATTTATAGTTTCTCAAAAAACTTATTTTTTCAAAGTAATTTTTTTTTCAAAAATGTTAATCGTTTTAAAAAAAAAAAAAAAATTTGGTACGGGAAGTTCCAGCAATTTGGATTAAGGCACGATGCCTTAATTGCCTTAAGACAGAATTCCACTTACAGCTAGTATGTTTTGCTCGCAGACTAGATCGAATAATTGCGTCTTATTAGTAGTGTTCAACTTCACGTTGGCGTTTTCGTTGCATTTGTACGGATTTACACCCGTGTCGCGCCTAAAGAAGTTTTACTTCAAAATGTTTCAGATAAATTGAAGAAGTGCTGAGAAAAGCACGAGAAAAGTGGGAAACAAAACTGGATCGAACCCATTCTGGAAATGGATTGATTGATTTATCTTTTATCATCATTTACAGTATACTTACTCGAGTATAAATTCTTCGTCCCAAACAGGATCTGGTCCAGACTTGACTCTGGTTCTGGCGACTCGAACTTGATTTATCGACAAAACGCAGTATGGTTGTGGCACCAAACGTAAGGGCAGACGATGAGCATCCAGGATGTGGAGGGAAAGACATCTTAATTCTCTGGAATAAAAATATAAAACATCAAAATAATGATTGGTAAAATTCTCTACTGTGTAAATTTAAATGTCATTAGTATTATTTTTGTTATTATTACCTTAATCTTGGAACTTTAGCCTGAGCCTTCGATATCTGAGGTACACAGAGAGGTTTAAGGGCTGTGAGCCAATCAGTGTATTGTTGTTGAGTCGAACAGCACAAATGTGTAATAGTTGCTAAACATGGTAGAGCTCTTTCGACCATTTGGAAACAGAATGGTCTCTCCCATAAAGACTCATGAACCTAATTAAAAAAATATTATATAATAGGTTACATAATATATATATATATATATATATATATATATATTTATATTTATTTATTTATTTATTTAAATATATAGACCACAGATTACTCCAAGAGGACTCAAAAATACAGTTATTTTACATAATGAATAACAATTAAAATATATACAAAATTACAGTATATAGTTATTAACATAACATGCTTACATAAAATTACATATAATGCAGAATGTAACAATATTATTTATAAACAGAACTAGCAAACCCAACGAACTCCGTTTCGCAACCAGATGGTTTCGTGAGTAAGATGAAGAAATTTTTTGTTTGTTTTATATTTGAAAAGGGAAAATTTTATTTTATTACACAACAGTAATGAATTTATTTCGATTACAAAAATGAAGTGTTTGTTAGTTGAACTTCTCTAAGTAAATGAGAGTGAATCCGGAAATTATCCGTTTCATTGAAGTGCTCTTTGGTATACCACATTTTTTGTTTTTTGGTCTGACGTTAACACAAACAAAGCGGATGGTTTCCCAACTCGTGAACAGGCAACGTATAACTGCCCATGTGAAAAACAATGATTTTCTAAATAATCTATTTGAAATTTATCGCGCAAACACTAAGCGGCAAGAATTGGCCTTGCGACTTGTATATTGTCATTGCGAACGCAAGGAAATTATTCGCTGGCGAAGTTTGAAGTCAAACGGAAGACCAGTCGAAATCATTGGCATGTCACCAAATCGCCAGCAATTTTTTATTGTTTGGTGAAATTCAGTGCGTGTACATCATTATTGTTTGCGGCAAGAATTGCTCGTTGACTTAACCAAGCATAATTCTGATAATTCTCACTAATGTCATTACTCGAATTTTTTAATTACGGTGCGTAAAGTTCCAGCAGCTTGCATTAAGGCACGATGCCATGCACAACTAATTTTCTTAGCTATAAACCTTGCGGAGCCCGAGACCTTTCCAACGAATGCAAAATTGTCGAAATCGGTTGCGTTCTAGAGTTATTTCGTCAGGAAGGAAAACCCGACTTATTTTTATATATATAGAAGATAAGATAAAATAATGATATATTTGAAAAGAAAATAAAAAGGTAAACTTGTGCAGATGGAGATTATTTGATTAGGTGAAGTGTTGTGAATATCTATTTCATTATTAATTAGGTTAAAGTTAGAGGACATAAGTAGAATAGGCGAATTTAAGAGATAATTACAAATACAGTTATTTTACATAATGAATAACAATTAGATTTAGGAGTAGGATAATTGAAAAATAATTGTGAACGCGTAGATAGCCTTGGAACATTAAAGGATAGTTGATTAAGAATAAGAGGACAGTCTATAGAATTATTGCAAAGTTTAAATAAGAACATAATTGTACAGATAAATCGACGTGAGGCAAGGAAAGGAATACTAAATTCTTTTAGTAAAGTGTTGTGGTCAAAGCCACGTTCAGGGTAAATTTTATATGTTTTATAATAAAGGTATTTCAGAAATTTTCGCTGAACCTTCTCTATCGCATCAGAGTTGTTGGTTTGATGAGGATACCAAATAATGGAACCATATTCTAGTTTTGAACGTACAATAGAATAGTACATGCAAAGAAGCGCATTGGTAGATTTAAATTGTTTACACTTTCTCAATATCAAACCTAAATATTTGTGTGCTCTATTACAAATATCGGTTATATGATCCGTGAGAAACAAACTAGAATCAAATAGAACTCCTAAATCTAAAATTTTATTACATCTATCAATGCTGGTGTTAGATATTTTATAATCAAAATGTATTGGAACGCGCTTATGTGAAAAACTATGAATCTTGCACTTTGATATATTTAAATGTCATTTGTTATAGACACACCAAGAGTGGAAAGAGTCAAGTTGAGACTGTAATAATAAGCAGTCATCAATAGCATTTATTTTGAGATATAGTTTGAGATCATCTGCAAATAATAAATGTGGACAGCTAATAATATCAGATATGTCATTAATTGAGTAATAAATAGTAGTGGACCAAGAATGGAGCCTTGAGAAACACCCGAACTGATACATATATATACTCGTATATACTAATACTTATACTTATATACATACTCGTATATATAATAATTGCTTTATTTATTACCTGGTATAAATAAGCACAACTAAGGTCAATTAAACCTTTGGGCTTAGTTCTCTTCGGACTGTCATAAAACAATAAATGTGTATCACTGCCTTCTACTTGAAGCACAAAATAGAGCTGCTTCCATTTTTTGGCAGTTTTGTCCGATTTTTTAAACAAATATCTGTAACAATTAAAATTATTAAATATGTTAAACATATATCTGAAAAAAATTATTATATATTTTAAACAAATATATAAAAAAATAATAAAAAAAAATTAAATATGTTGAACAAATATCTGAAACAAATGAAAATATTAAATATGTTATATTAATTCTTAAATTGTTAAATCAATTGCATAATATAATATTAATTCGAACAATGAATCAATTATTGCTGATCATATATAGAAAACTTCATCCGTGTTCCCGAAATCGTCGACAAAAAAAAATTTGTATCCGCACACACACACAAGCATCCATTTTTTCTAAGGTATGCCAGAATGTTCAAAAGGTTTTGGAACATAAAGATATATAAAAATTTTCATTTTCGATTTTTTTGCGATTACTATAAATTGCTCTATGGGAAGTTAAAAATTAAAAAATTTTATTTCTCGTACTGGAAGTTCCAGCAATTTATCTTAAGGTACGATGCCATGCACCACTAGTTTTATAATTAAAACAGAAAAAGTAAATTGTAAATGAATATATAACGTTAATAAAGTAAATGAAAGTGTCATAAATGAATATATAATTATATTAATTGAAGATTCTATAATAATTAGATTATAAAAAAAAATTAAATCCACGTATGAATAGAAATATTATCATCATTTTTTGTAATAAAATTGATTGAATTTGATAAATTTTGATTTTAAATATTGAAAATTATTTAATATATAATTATATTGTAAAGCTGTCTCACCCTTGATGTTTAATCCCTTTAGTTTTCTTAAGACCAATCTGATCCCTGCATTCTCTCAACGTGGCATAAATTTTTTCAGCAGCCGCACAAATTGCTGGTGGAGTGAACTCGGGCTGGGAACCTTCTGCCACCAACTAAAATAAAATACAACAATAAATTATATAGACAAATATAAATATTATTTTTGATATTATAACAGAAAATATTTTAGGATACTGTTCTATGTACAACTACTATTGCAAAGATTCATTTGAAATTCTATTTTTATACATTTCCTTACCGGTTGCATAAGAGTATGTCCTTCAACAATCTGTTCCTTTCGGTATCTATTAATAACAGCATCCAGACATTCAAAAGTTCGACCTCCCATTAAATATCGTACACCCCTTTTTTCAATTCTGAACCTTTGGATTTGATTGTTGATGTGGAAGAATAAGGAGTAGTCGCCTGGGGAATTATCACTGGGCCTTACTAGGAACGAACCTGGACCAGCTGGAAAAATAAATAAATACACACACATACATATACATATAATATATATATATATATATATATATATATATATATATCTTGATATTGTTTGTTTAGACTTTGAAACATTATATGATACGGTTTTTCAGCCACAAGTCGAAAAAATAAAACCAGAACGTAAATATAAATCTTTTTAATACGTAATAATTTTTTTAATAGCTCAATGATGAGCTAGCAGAATAGCTCGAAACGTAATATGTAATAAATAGATCTTAAATATAAAAATGGAGCTCTTGATCAAAGAATTCGGTGAAACTCGAAAACGGCTAAACCGATTTGGCCAGTCTTAGTCTTGAAAAATTCGTGCCAATCCAGAGATGGTCGTAAAGGTGAGATATTATTTCAAAATCGCGTAGAAACTTTACATTTTTTATTTGAAAATTTTTGTAGAAGCGTAATTTGAATACAACAATGGACGGTGGCTAATACGTCAAATGTCAAATGGTAGATGATGTTCAATTAATTTAACATGATGTTTTAGGCGAATATTATTTAATTATTATTAAATTGTAGTAAGTATTTTTGTTTGTAGTTTTATTTATAGACAAAACCGTTAGTAAACGGGCCGCAAGTGTTACTAGAGGCTCAAAATATCAACTTTTTTGAAATGTTAATATGAAAATGCATTTTTTGGCATATTTTTCTCACGGTGCTGTGAAAGATCTCATTTGTATAATTATATACTCATTAGTATTTATAATACATTTTCTAGGTTATATTATTTTTTATTTATGTTATTTAAATTCAGAACCTAAATTTGGTATCGATTAAAGGAACATTTTGCTGAATAACATTTTCCTAGTTATAATTTCCCAGAATTTATCTAAAAATAGATATTAATATATGAAGGTCCGGGGTTAAAAAGGTCCACCAGCAATGTGTCAAAAACCAGTAAAGTTAAGCATTGTTTAACAACAATATTGAAAGTAGAGGGAAAAAGATGTATAACCAGCTATAACCTTGATTCTCATGACTTTGCTATTGGGAGATAAACGGTAATCTTTGAAAATCCATAATAAAAGTATTGTCTTCCGTTGATAGTTTTTTAGCATTAGTTAAAAGTGTAATTATTTTGTAAAATACATTTAAAATTAAAATAAGACATTAAACCTGTATGCCACCTGGCCGTTCCAAGTATTGTTTATAATTATACACAAAATCCAGAATTCAAAAAGAATCTGAAAAACTTGAAACGTAATCAATAAGTCGAAAAACCAAAAAAGACTTGGATTGAATGACTTATACCATGTTTTCTATAGAAAGTGTATAAAAATTCCAGTGTGATTGCATTGTCAAAATATAGATAGACAAACTAATGGGGTTTATTGTTTTTATAATACCTCATTGTATATAGCATTCAAACAACACATCCTTATACACGTTAAGTATTAAATATTTTTGATTCTCTAGAAATTGTTTAGAATATACCTTACTTAGCAAAACAACGTTTGCCGGGTCAGCTAGTATATATAAAATATTTTATCTTTTACCTTTAACAAGCATATCAACAGCTTCACTTTTCGTGCACGATCTATGAAACCATGAGAACACAGTGTTAGGATCAATACCAGGATCCAAGTCCTCAACCAGTTCCCTAAATATCATCCCCTGTTCGCCAGTTCTTTAAAAAACAAATACACAATCATTCCATAAATAAATAAAACCAAATAACTTCTATCTATGTATCTATTTACCTGTGAGCTGTTACCCAAAGCCATCCGTCTCCCATATCATTATGACAAAAGAATATGTCCCCCTTTTGGAATGTCAGCTCATCCGTGTCTGGCATTTTTGTGTATGGTAAAATAGCCACGACTTTCTACAAACGAAAAAAATGAAGACTATGAATACATGATTATGAGTAGGTATCTTTGTTATTATTTTATTAAGTCGTTTACCTTTTTATCGTTGACAGGCTCGGGGGGCGCAACTGGTGTGATCAGTCTTTCGCGTTTTAATAAATCGGAGCACTGTGTGTAGTATCCGACTAAGTCGCTTAAGGATAAAAATTGACGGCCGCCTATGTAGTAATCGCCACACACGGCAGTAATTCTAAAAAGAAATAAAATAAATAAACTAGTGGTGTTTGGCATCGTGCCTTAATGCAAATTGCTGGAACTTCCCGTACCGTAATGGAATATTCGAGAAATTTTAAACGTTTTCAAATACATTATTACAAATACGGTAACTTTCATTATTTTTCCTATCTTGTTATATCTGGGCAAATCAAATGTGAATCATAAAATCAATTTATCTCCAGAACATTAACAATTGTCATTTCATTTCGAATTCAATTTAAAAAAAATAGTTGCCTTAATAGTTACACAAAATTGAAAAAGAGCTCCCTTATAGCCACAGTCTAAACACATTTGCAAATAATTCTGTGCGACATTTTCACTTATACTGTGCTTAGCTTGGCGGCATTTTCACATTTTTCAATAGATTTTTTTTGAGGTTTTTCAATAGAAAAAGTTGAAGGATCATTACCTGAAATGATTCATTCCAGTTCGTCCCGAGTAACTAAGTACATAAGATCCTGGTTTTCTATCACTTTCTCTTACTGAAATAAAAAAAAAACGATTATATATATATATATATATATATATATATATATATATATGTATATATATATATATATATATATTTATATGATAAAGTTGTTATTGGGCATCCATCCGGTAATTAAAAACAAATGTCTTGTTACACAAACGCCAAACTGACAACATGCCTCGTTTGGAAAAAGCTTTTTTATAAAAAATGTATTATTTGTTTTTATTTTAATGTTACAATTATTTAAAATTTGTCATATAACTCGACGTTTATCAATTTGTGTTTCATAATTTTTTTCGTGCAATTTTCATGAGTTTTTGTGTTTTTTTTTTCAATTTATTTGTATGGTGAGTTCTTTACATTTATTTATGTCTATGTTTGTATTTTCACTTTTATATACTTTCACAATATATATTTCCTTTGCTAAAACTGTTTTTAATTAATGGATGGATGACCAAGAACAATTTTATCATGTTGTTTCACCATCTGAAAAAAAACCTCTCGCTTTATATATATAAATGTGTGTGTGTGTGTGCTCCTTATATTAGAAATATAATATATAGAAATAAAATTCCTTTATCCTCCTTATCCTTAATCCTTTAATCCATCCTTATCCTTAATCCTTTAATATATAGAAATAAAATAGAAGTGAAAAAATGGCAAGAAAATATCATTATTGGACAAATGGTTGACTGTCAAATTCATTCAATTAAACTTTTTAATTTAAATGGTGATAAATCTTATATTATGTGTAAGAAAAATGCAATTTAGGAATTATTTTTACTAAAAAAACAATTAAAATATGCCAAAGATTAAAATGTTAAATATATATAATAAAATGCATTAACTTCAACGATTTCTAATAAATTGCATATATAAATATAGAAATAAAATAAAATTTATTAAAAAAAAATACGAATAAAATTTAACAAAAGTCAAAAAACTTACAGAATTATATATGTAGCTTTTCACATCAATATTTGAATTCTGCTTTCGTTTAAGTTTAATTTGTATGTTTGTGTTCTTTGTTTATTTAATTGTAATGTATATTGTTTAGTTTTTCAGTGTATTTTTTTTTGCAAAAATGTTCAAATCATAGTACATATTGGAACTGCAGAATGATGACACACATAAAACGTCGAAACGTACAGAATAAAGAAAATACAAGCATTTATCGCTTTGGTCAACTTGTATCCATTTTTGGTTACACTTTGGAACCGTAACCATAAATAACGTTTTTAGGACTAGAGCAAAAATAATGACACAATTTTTTTTATAGAATTAAGTGTATTTGTTAAACTATGAATTAATAATTGTTCAAATTTGTAGATATTTAATTAACTTCCCGTAGGGTAAGTTATTGTAATCGTCCAAAAATCGAAATTGAAAATTTTTACATTTCTCGACGTTTTGAAGGTTTCTGAACATTTTGGCATACCTCAGAAAAAATGTGTGTGTGTGTATGTATGTATGGATACAATTTTTCGTCCACGTTTTCGGGCGCACGGATCTACCGAGTTAAATAGTTCTAATAACATTCAATTCGTTTTGATTGGGGGAAGTGTTGATTAGTTTTCGGTAAAGGCAGGTCCAACCGTTTCGGAAATACGGAGCCAAGAATGCAGAAAATAGAAATCGAGTTTTTGAGATAACGGAGCATCCGATTTGAATGATCCAAAGAACATTCAATTCATAATGATGGAGGGAAGTGGTGATTAGTTTTTGGCAAAGGCAGGTCCAGCCGCTTCTGAGATACCGAGCTAAATGTGCAAAAATGGCAGTTTTTTGAGAGAACTAAACATCCGATTTGAATGATCCAAAAAACATTCAATTCGTAATGATGGGGAGAAGTGATTATTGGTTTTTGGCAAGTTACATAAAAAATCCGCGCATTTAATCAGGATTATAAAATGGTAAAAAACGAGTCAAAAGTTAAAAACTAACTCAAAAACTATCACAAAACATAAAAAAATACAAAATAAGCCACAGCAGTATATTACAATTAACTGTTTTTATTATTATTTATTTTACCTAAGTAACTTCCAAGCTTAGACGCTGCCCACAATCTCTCCTCAGCCGTAAACCTGTCCAGACGACCATGGTACCATTCGGATTCAGGTGGAGCGATAACAGCTGGTCTGTCACCTTGATAAAAGATAAAAGATAAAAATAACAATTAAATGTATATATATATATATATATATATATATATATTACATATATTCTTATCTTACCATTAACACTAGGGCCATCAAGTTCATCTGGTTCCAACTCGACAGCCAAATCTGCCAAATCAATACCACCTCCATCGTCTGATCCAGTCGAAGGAGAACCTAAAAAATATTTCATTTGTATAATTTAAAAACAATTTTGTTTGAACATAAAAAATCTAAAAAGCAGGTGAACGATTATTAGTGGCTAAGACTATAAAAAGATGCTCAAGGTGCTGAATCCCATCAATATTGATAAAAAATAATGAAAAATTAGTAGTTTCAACTATGAAATTGAAAATTGGGGCATAATTAATATAAATAAAATAATTAATTGTCTTATAATAATATATATTAATAAATTCATTAATAAAATTGGAAATTTATGAGTGGGATGATTAATAATGCTAATTGTGATTTATAATTAATTAATTGAAATGTAAATTGCTATATACAAGGCTACATTAAAATAATAATTCAATGCCTTATTAAAATATTTTTAACTTCTCGTAGGGTAGTTATAGTAATGCGCTGAAAATAGAAAATGAAAATTTTTGCATTTCTCGACGTTTTGAAGGTTTCTGAACATTTTTAAGGGACATACCTCAGAAACTAAATGGATGTGTGCGTGTGTTTTGTATGTCCGCAATTTTTCGTCCACTTTTTTGGTCGCACGGATCAACCGACTTGAATGGTTTAAAAAACATTCGATCCCCATTAATAGAGAGATGTGCTGATTAGTTTTTGACAAAGGCAGGTCCATCCGTTACGGAGATATGAAGCAAAGAGTGCAGAAAATAGAAATCGAGTTTTTGAGAGAACGGATCATCCGATTTGTATGATTCAAAAAACATTCAGTTCGTAATGACGGGAAAAAGTGGTTATTAGTTTTTGGAAATGGTAGGCCAAGCGGTTTCGGAGGTTGGGAAAATGGCAGTTTTTTGAAAACTAAGAGTACGTCCGATTTAAATGATTCAAAGAACGTTCTGCTTGTTTCAACAATAGAATTGCTTTTGGAAAAAAAAATTGTTTCTAATTTTTTTTTCAAAAAATATTTTTGTAATTTTGGATTAAAAATTCAAAAAATCACCCAGGCTAAGCACAGTCTAAGCGCCACTCTGGTACAAATGAAGCACTTTTCCAATTTTGTGAAAACGAAAACTATTGAAAAATGTGAAAATGTCGCAAATCTAAGCACAGTATAAGTGAAAATGTCACACAGAATTATTTGCAAATGCGTTTAGACAGTGACTATACAGGAGCACTTTTCTAATTTTGTGAATTTTTGTAATTTTGTGAAAACTATTGAAAAATGTGAAAATGCCGCCAAGCTAAGCACAGTGTAAGTGAAAATGTCGCACAGAATTATTTGCAAATGCGATTAGACTGTGACTATACGGGAGCACTTTTCCAATTTTGTGAAAACTATTGAAAAATGTGAAAATGCCGCCAATCTAAGCACAGTATAAGTAAAAATTTCGCACAGAATTATTTGCAAATGCGTTTAGACTGTGACTATACGAGAGCACTTTTTCAATTTTGTGAAAACTATTGAAAAGTGTAAAAATGCAGCCAAGCTAAGCACAGTCTAAGTGAAAATTTCGCACAGAATGATTTGCAAATGCGTTTAGACTGAAACTATACAGGAGCACTTCTCCAATTTTGTGAAAACTATTGAAAAATGTGAAAATGCCGCCAAGGTGAGCACAGTATAAGTGAAAATGTGGCACAGAATTATTTGCAAATGCATATTAGACTGTGACTATACGAAAGCACTTTTTAATTTTGTGTAAATTAGGCAACTATTATTTATAAATATTTTTAAATTGAATTCGAAATGAAATGACGATTGTTAATGTTCTAGAGATAAACTGATTTATGATTTTCATTTGATTTGCTCAGATAGCAAAAATAATGAAAGTTACAGTATTTGTAATAATATATTTGAAAACGTTTAAAATTTCTCGAATATTTCATTACGGTACGGGAAGTTCCAGCAATTTGCCTTAAAGCACAATGCCATGCGCCCCACTAGTTTAATTTAGTTTTCCATCAATATTTCTTTTTTATCTTTTAAATTTCTATATGCTTCATGATTTATCTATATCTATACAAAAAATCATATCATCTAAAAAATCAACAAAAATTATTCTAAATGCACATTTGTTTAACATGCCTTGTGATATAAAAATCTTGTCACATGAAAATTTTAAAATAATAAAGTAATTTTTCTCATCGATACATTTGGTTTATGAATTTTTATGTACAGTTTTTTCTGTACGAGTAAATCTAATACTACCATGCTCTAAGTGCCATAATTCTACTATTTACCCAATCCGTATACTCTTGGATTTATGCAAACTAAATAAATTACAAAAGTTACAATAAACAGTATACAATATCTTTAGATAAATATTTAATGTTGAAGACAAATTTATATGTAGGACAACATATTTGTTAGCTGTTCTAACAATAATACATTACAGTATTAATTCTTTTATGCATTTTTATGGTTTATGAAATACATTGTAAAAGAAACTTGTTCGAGTCATTTTACTATTATCAAAATATACTTCTATATAAATGAATAGACTTTTTGACAATTTTATATTTATTATTTTTATTTATTTATTTATTTGATATAATTCGTACATACTGTATCTCAGTCAGACAATTGTTCTGGTATGAGAGATCACAGCAATTATAACAAAAATGAAATCTAAATTTTATGTAACAGACTTACATTAAGACATCTATATATTTTTACTTATTACTATTATACACACATATATACACAGAACGCTTGCGTACATACATACGTACTTATACTTAATTGTAATTAATATTTTAACAGAACAGAAGTAATATAGTATTTAAAATAAGGAATTTTATCTTGTTTATTTCATTTATCTCTTATGAAATTTTTCAATTCAATTTTGAAATTGTTTAGGTCCGTCCTTGTCTTTAGTTCGTCCGGTAGTTTATTGTAAAGGCTGCTTGCACTTCTCAGAGGACTTGCAAGTCCTTTACTAGTTTTTGCATGTTTCATGTGAAAGTTTCGGTTTAATTGTTTGATGGTCGTGTATATCCTGGTTTGTCTCTCTTGAGGTGCAAGTTTTGATTTTGTTATTTTTTATTTTGAATATTAGTATACATTTTTCTATTTCTATTGTTTTGTGTAATGGTATGTTCTTTGTCTTTTGTAGAAGTTCTTTTGTCGGGGTGAGGTAAGGATAATTGTAAGTTGATTTTATTGCTTTATTTATCATTCTTTGTAGTGTTTTATATTTTTATTTGTTGTATATATAAGTAAACCATTTGCAATATGTCACATTTTGGTAACTCGAGAGAATTCCTAAAGTTTGGCTGATATGATAAAAATAAGCACTGATCAAAAAAGTATGGTTAGGTTAGTCTTTGTTTGAAACCGTTTCAGACTTATAGCTAAAAAATTACTAAAATTCTTACATACTATGACGTTTGCAGTTGCATATACTTCAAAAGACATTCTGCATTTAGTTTAAATATTGACTAGACCTTTAGCAATACATTTACAACAATATTTACCTAGTTTATCCTTAGGAATAGCTCCCATTCCTCCAGGCATCATCCTTATCAAGTCAGCCATTGTCACTTTTGCACGTTATCTCAAAATTTATGATAATTTTTATACTAAACAGACTTTACATCAACATCATCGTTACATATTTCTACTCAACCCAAATCTCGAGCTTTTAAAACCAAAATTTAATTATATTTTTCTACAAGCAGCGAGAACAAAAACACAACCGGTCCAATGAAGATGATAATGTTGAATAAAAGCAAAATTTGTATGAAATTTGATGATTTTTATATGTATTTCGATTTCTCTTTAAACGTTTTATGTATTACACATATGTGTTGCGTTAATTTTTCACAATATTCCTAACAATTCTGGGAAAATTGCGTGAGAATAAAGGTATTTTGAAGTGACAAAGATGTGTTTTTCCATATTTGACAACTGTCAAATGGACGTACGGAAATATCGATATTAGGAATAGAGGATATCGATATGATTGGCATATTTTTATAAATAAATAATATAAATGATGTTAAATAATAAATTACTGCCTGATTTGTTTATATTTTGTTATATTTAGTAATAATAATATAAATTTTGTTATATATTTGTCAAAATAGAAAAAAAAATAAATTGTCATTTTTTAAAAACTGTAATTTTTAACCCAAAAAGGTCTAAAGTATTAAAAATTATAATTCAAATTATTTAAAACAAATAACTTTCATCAAAAACCTCAATATGTTTACAAATATAAAATTTATTTTAAAATATTTTATATTAATATCGATATTTTTCCCTCGCCATCTTTGTATTTATTATTGTTGACAGTTTTGACGTTTGGCAAATTTATTAAATTACACGAAAACATATTTTGCTTTTGAAATTAAATTTTTAAAAAATCTAGTCATATTTATAATACTAATATATGTTCAAAAATGACATCTGATAAATATGCTATGTCAGAAAAAATCTTACAAGATATCAGCAATGTTTTGGAGAAAAATCCAAATTTGTAGGTTATGTTTGTAAATAAATTATAAATGATAAATTTATAATGTATTTTGTATTAAAAATGTGTAGATTATGTTGTGATCAAATTGTGTATCACGTTTCAGTGAATTAGTGATGTAATATTGTTAATTTTGTAATTGTTCTCATTGTGTACAACAAATGTACACAATTTGATAACAAAAGTTGTTTATTAAGTATAAAGCAAATAATATTACTGAAGTTGCAACTGAAATTGATATATTAAATAAAATATATGTCAAATAATGATCTAACCTGTTATTTTGTTATTTGTACTAAAATCTTTCAAAGTTACCACAAACTACTTATAAAAATTTTATAACTTAAACCTTCTTGTTCACTATGAATGAAATTATTCAATACGTTTATATATATATATATATATATATATATATATATATATTATATTCATTTACCTATTTCCTTTCCCTTTCAGAGACGAATTCGAAATAATACCCATGCCCAGTAGCCAAAACAAATCACCAGTTTTGACCGCTGGAAATTGTCTAGGTTTAGAATCGTGGTGTACAAAATATCTATACTGTTACGTCTACGAACTCGTTATGAACATAAGAAAAAATAAGAAAAAAATCATCTTAGACGATAGCTTGATTAAACAATTAAATTGTGCACTGTTGTTAAATCCAGATATTACGAGTTTTTGGAATATGAGAAGACAATTTGTTGAAAAGGGTGCTGTTAGTGTTGAGGACGAATTAAAGTTTTCACGACTGGTCTTGAGTAGGAAACATAAGTGTAATGATGCCTTTGGTTATAGACGCTGGCTTATATCGAGAATTATTGGTAATATAACTGGTATTTATATTTATTATTAGATAGATTATATTTAGTTTAATCTCCTTGCAGGTGAGTTTACGTTACAAATCCTCGACACAGAATTAGAAGTGTCCAGAATTTGTGCAGACCGCAGCCCTTGCAACTGCCACGCCTGGACACACAGAATTTGGTCGATGCAAAAATATTTAAACCAACAATCGACTGTGGAAAACCATTTAGGTCTTTTGTTGAGAGAATTAGAATTCTCAGAAAATTGGACATCGACACATGTATCTGATTTTAGTGGTTTTCATTATAGACAATATTTATTGGAACAGTTTGGACACAATAGTTTGATACCAGAATTGACAACAGAAATTTGTGGGAAAGGTTTAGAGATTTTAAATAAATTCCTGAACACAAATGATGAAGAGGTAATGGATATATGTAATATAAATTGTAGTGACATGTTGCACCATTTGTACAACTACAAAGCTTGTTCACAAGATTTAAACAATGAAGCCAGACTTATATTCCTCACCATGTTACTAATATGTGATCTCATTTTTTGTCAACGATTACACGAAACGTTTTCGCATCACGAATCGGTGTTTTGTCATCGTCGGTACATTCTACACACTATACTAACCATAAACAAAAATTTAAACCCTTTACCAATTAATACAAAAATAGATTTAAACAAATTGTACAAACAGCAACAATGCAATAGCAATATAGTGACTTCTCTAGAAATCGATCAAGTCATCTTAAACAGTCCCAAAAAGACAAAACATGAATACAACTTGAATAGACTTTTAAGAGCTGTTATAAATAATGAGAAACGTTTAGTGAATGATTCCAAGTACCTGAAATGGTGTCAGTTTATACTACAAGTGCCTTTAGGGTAATAGGATAAAAAAATTAGTATAGTAAAAGACCCATGTTAGCAGACGCTTGTAACTTTTGAAGGATTTGTTGAATGCATATGAAATATTTGGCAAATTTGTACAAAATTGAATAATAGACAATAGTTGGTAACATCATGAGACCGTACAGCAACTTTGTAAGTTAAAAATCGCAATTGAAACCGGAATTTTAATGAAAGCGCGTTGGACATTCAGTATTTTTTGAATAATTTACAAATCCTAAACAATTACTTTAATATTTTATTTATTTATTTTTATATATTTTAAATATGTAGCCCACAGATTTCTTCCAAAAGGACCTATAAATACAATTATTTTACATAATGAATAACAATTAAAATATATACAAAATTGCAATATATAGTTATTAACATAAAATGCTTAACATAAAATTACATATAATGCAGAATGTAACAACATTATTTATAAACAGAATAAGATAAAATAAATTTATCAATATATAGTTATCAATTTTAATATTTGTTATCAAAGTAGACAGACTAAGTTACAATATACTAAAATTTCAACAATCTAAAACAAATACACAAACTATTAAAAAAAAATGTAAACTCTACTCGACTTCGACTTTGACTTTGACAAAGTTTTTGGATCAAAAGAACATTTATTCGTTATATCGTTTATATCTCCAAAACTAGTGGTGGAATATAAAAAATGTCTATTACAATTTTGTACAAAATTGAATAATCTATAATATTTTCTAATTTCATAATTTCCTACAGCAACTCGGTATACTTTAAAATTAAATCAGAAGTTGAAATTTATTGTTGAAAACACAGTCTTATGCTAATATGGGTTTTAATAAGGCGGGTAGCATGACATATCGTACCTTCAGAATTTAAAAAATATTTTTAATATATTATTAATAGTTTGAAGATTGGAAAATAAGTATTTAATGTTCATTAAATTTTAAATTCATTTTTACAATTTGTTTTCATTCATTTTGTGAATTTAAACATTTTTAAAATAATTTAACAATTTAACTTAATAATTTTTTTGTACTTTTACAAATATGTTAAAACAGTACATAAAAATATTTAGAATTTTTGTTTAAGATTATTTACAGTAAATTTTATCTAAAATGTATTTGTAGAACTTATATTTTTATTGTACATTCACAAAGTTAATTTATTCGTTTCAAATTTAATTATTTTTTAATTCCTTGAACTTCAATGTTTTAAATATTTTTTAATAACACAAAAGTATTATTATTTGCGAAGGTGCGATAAATAATATTTAAGAATAATTATTCCAATTTCGAATATAAATCTATTAAATATAAAATAATGATAAATATCGAATATATATATATATATATATATATATATATATATATATAATTACATTTAAACGATTTAATGTGATTGTTTACTCTAGTACAAATGTATGTTGAAAATTATCAATAAGGTAATTTACCAAATAGTAATAAATAATTAATTGTATCCATTACAAAATATCGATTATTATTATTATTATTATTGTTATTGTTAGTTTTATTCATTTGTTACTTCACGCTTTAAAATATTAATACAAATTATTAAACGAATAAATGGAATGTTTTATTTAAAACTTAATTTACTTCAAAAATTTTAATGTTTAACGTTTTATTTAAAACTTAATTTACTTAAAAAATTTAAAGGTAAATAAAAAATTATAATCGTAACGGTTATTTACGAAAATATAATTTATGTTAAATACATTTTTATTAAATATATTTTATGTATTTTATTAAAAAATATTTTTAAAACGTAGTATATTATAATTTTCCAAATTGTTTATAGATATATATTTTTTTATCTTGAAAATGTTTGAAAATTTCTGTTGTTGTGAAAAGAGAAAAATAGATCAATTAGTTAATTATAATCTAAGACATGCAATTTTTTAATAAGCTGAAAAAATATTTTTAACGATTCTCTTATCAGAATATGTCTTATATGAATCTTATAAGAATTTTGATTCCCATTTTTTTGTACACAATATTTCAATGTAGAAAACATATATAAAAGGTTTAATTAGTTTGATAAATATTTGAACCCTAAAATAGACATTTTTACTGATATTTTAAACCGTGTCTAGGGGACATCATCGATAAGAATCGAGTGATTTATAAATTATTGAAATCAGTCCACTTGTTTTTTTTTTCGAAAACAATGTTTATATTATGTTCATGCGCCTAGAAATATTTTTTAAAATAACCTGTAATTATTTTTTAGTTCATACGTAAAGATTTCTGAATGCAAATCTTGTGACGAAATAATTTATATAATTATATATATATATATATATATATATATATATATACTCGTATATTATTACGCAGATGCATTTAAGATCTAATTAAAGTTGGTTGTTGGATAATTAGTTATAGCCAAAAGGCGTTGAACTTTTGCCAAGAAACAAGGCGTAATAAAATTACATTTTATGGCACACTAACCGATGACAAATTTATATATATATATATATATATATATACTTCCAAAATAGCAACGATATTGACCTACAATTTGACATGTCACCGAAATAAACGATTTTGAAACTCACTTTTCACTGAACTCGTTAACAAGAAAAAACACGAATGTATGTAAAATCTTAACTAGGTTGATTTTTATAATTTATATATATATATATATATATATATATATGTGTGTGTGTGTGTGTTAAATTTTTAAATAATTTTGATGTCGAAATATGAGAGATTCAATCTTCAGGGCAATACATCAAATACAAATTTGTAGAATGTCTTTTTTTATATAAATAATAAAATAATTTCTTTATTAAACTAGTTTCGACACTATGTTTGTGCCATCTTCAACAAATTCTGTGAATATTTATATAAAATATTAGAGAGAATACAATGAATGTAACACGAATACATTTTTTTTTAAATATATATATACAAATAAATAAATCCTTGTTAGAACTTTCAAATTCTTTTTTCGATTATAAAGGTATTTAATTTTTTATTAGATTAAATCAAATCAATTTGAGCATTTTTTTATTTTTTCAGAAAATATTTTATTAAACTTCGTAGTAACAAAATGTAAAATAAAAATATAAATAAAAATTCTCAAATGGTCAAATTTTTAGTTGATTTTTATAATTTTAGTAGATGTTTATAATTTAGCAATATTTAGTTGATGTTTATAATTTACCAATATATATATATATATATATATATATATATATATGTATAAACTATATATGAAGTTTGAAATTTTTATTTTTATTTAATTACTTTAATAATTTTTATCTCAATTCTTATCAACTATGTTTAACCTCAATTGACAACTTTTTATTATATAAATAATAAAATAATTTCTTTATTGAACTAGTTTCGACACTATGTTTGTGTCAAATACTGTGAATATTTATATAAAATATTAGAGAGAATACAATAAATGTAACACGAATACATTTTTTCTAAATATATATACAAATAAAAAATCCTTGTTAGAACTTTCCAAATTCTTTTTCGATTATAAAGGTATTTTAATTTTTTATTAGATTTAAATCAAATCAGTTTGAGCATTTTTCTATTTCTTCAGAAAATATTTTATTAAATCTAGTATAAATAAAAATTCACAAATTGTCAAATTTTAAATTGAAAAATGAGTTAGAAAAGAGTTTGGAAGAATTGAGTATTGTTTCAGATTTGCAAATGTTTATTAAATTTTGATAGCTATCGAATGATAATGCTGAAGAAGTTTGTTTATTTAAAAATAAATAAAATAAAAATAAAAATTGATTCAGAAAACTTCCCACGGTCAGTATTTTGTGCCATAAATAATATTTTTGGATTATTAATGTTGAAAGTATGATTAAATTTTTCTGTGTTCCGAAAACATTGTTTTGTATTGATTGGGATTTTTTGAGTTATAGACATGTTGCTTCATTCTTTTACTAATATATTGTGAGTTTCCCCATATATATATTATATATATATATATATATTATATATATATTTGAAATATGAAATGTCAAATAATTTTGAAAATTATAACAAGTTTTTAACTATTTGTCAGAAAGAATATATTTGATTACAAATTCATACCCATATCAAGCACCAAAGTAATAAATACTATTTATAAAATGATATATTATTTATAGATAATGTGATTTTAATGCATATTTTAATTATATGTTTTGACATTTGCTAATTCAAAATAAATTAAAAAGAATTGAAAACAATGTCATAAATCGGATATTTATGGAAAAATATTAAATAAATATATTTATGTTTCACTTGATTTCAAATAAGAAATATAAAAAAAAATAATTGCGATGCCAAAATAGATTTTTCTGAATTTCTTATACTGCTTATGCTAAGACCATAAATGGATCACAAAGGCAAGACATAAAATAGGTTATTAAAAAGTATAGGAGAGAATATTAAAAATTTTGAACTTTTGAAATGTAGATGTGGGTGCAGGACAAAGTCTGTCGGGTCATCTAGTATATATATATATATGTGTGTTAGGGTGGTCCTTAATATGGACATTTTCGAATTTCCTTGCTCCAGGGGCTCAAATGGTTCCAAATTGATAAAAAATATTCTCTATATGTTTTAGCTCTTAATATTGTCTTTTAGATAGTGCGCAATTTAATCAAAGTTTTGTATGAAAATAGCATGGAAAAATTTCCAAAAATTTCAAAAATGTTTTTATATAAAACGTAGCGAATAAATGTTGAATTTAATGAATAAACGTTTCAGAGATTTCTGAACATTTTGGCATACCTTTGGCAATGAATGTGTGTGTGTGTGGATACAATTTTTCGTCTATATTATAGGTGCACGAATCAACCGATTTGAAAAATTCGAAATTCGTATATGTAGTATCTTAGTCATTTATCTCGGACCCTGAATAATTTCTCTAATCCCCTGAATGCGGCCCTGTCCCTGTGCCCGTGTCCACTGTCCACTTGGTCGGCCTTCGTCATCGTATATACTATATAATGTAAATGTGCACATAGTGGCCAATAGTGGGATTTATTTATACATGCGGTTTTAGTCACTAAACCGATCGCTCCGCCGTCATTTCGACGATTCCTCCACCGTTTTCGGTTGCGCCAATTGTGAAAGACACACGCGTTCGCGTTTTATTCGAATTTAATAATTTATTACTGTGCCGTGTTTGAAAAATGTAAAAAGAGTTTAAGATATAAACGACAAGTGTGTGAATCAGGTGTTTTATAAAGC